TTGTTGTATGAATTATAAAGCAGTAGAGAGTGCTCCATCCCTCTGGGTAGAATATTGCCAAATGAAATAAGATGTGATATATGTTGAAAACATTGTATGTGCAGAATAGGAATGCAAATTCACATGTTAGTTTAAGGCAGCAGAGATGATCTGTACCATGCACATAACAACTAAAGCAGTCGCTGAAGCATGACGAGTGCTCCCCCATTTGTTCGACTGTCATCTACTGCAGTACCCTCTGATCACGATCATGTTCTTGTTCAGCTTTTTATGACAAGTGCTAGGATGGCTTGAGGAATACAATTCAGAGTTTTTTAAAATATTTTTTTCTTTTACATTTCTCATTGTATTGCATCATTTCAAGTAAGCATGAACTACTGTGCAGAGTGTATTGAATTTTCTTTGGGTAGTTCAAAACAAATTAATTATTTGTCCATACATCATTTAAAGGACTAATTCCCTATGCAGCCCAGCAAACGTAGAGCTGTACCTGCTCAGCATTTAAAGTTAAGGCAGTGCACCATAAACACCTGTTAAATTTTATAGCCATCTGCTTCCCCAAGAAATTTAAATTCTAATAATACAGAATTAACAGATGGGAAAGAACTATAGCCTCCACTCTGAAGGGGATAACTGCAACCTTTGAATTAACATAATGCCATTTTGCTAGTAATTGTTTACAATGACCACAGGGACATACTCAAATAATGATGGCCCATTAGTGACATTCTTTGCTATTTTTTTCAGGGATAATTTGGACACAGAGTATCTCTTGGTGATTTCTTAAACTCCATCTTAAGGTAAATCTTTCTCCCCCAATGAAGGGGGCAAAACAATTATGATATAATGAAATATGGTTCAGGATAAGATAGTCTTCATAGACTGAAAAGGTTGCCTTTGAGACTAGAAATGATAATGTTTTAAATAAGAAATCATATTCGGCTTTAACACACATAAAATTAACCATCAAAATGACATATTGAGCGGAAGTTTATAACAAATTATGTCATGAATTATCAGAAATGATTCACTTCAGTAGACACAAATCATAGAGAGCTCTCTGATTATATGAGATCATAAAGAATAAAAGCAGATTAAATCCTTTCTCAACCTCCCAAACTTCATTTTATTTTTCACAGAATTAGTATGACTTGTGTTGTTTTCTTTCAATGATCATAAAAGTAATGCCTGCTCAGTATAAATAATTCAAAGCACACAGAGTGCTCAGAGAGGAAAGTGCAAGGTAACCACGATTTCACGCTCCACAAACTAGAGGAACAAACATCAATAAATCTTTAATTTTTTCAATTAATAACTGGAGAACCCACATTTCAGTTTTGTAAGGAGTCCAACATGTACCTCACAGAGGTGGCTCCAGGCTGCTCATAACAGATAGAAGACGATAGGAATTAAGTAGCCACCATGATGAATAGTCTTTTACAGGAGGAGAGGACTGGATTCTGTACCCAGAGGGATGCTCCAAGACATCTTAAACCAGAATGTGCCATTGTTGCCTCTCCATTGCATGACCAAGGAGACTCATCTTCAGGGAAAAATGATCAATGGTGTGCTTCTGCATGGATTGCAACTACCTTTGTTAATATGACACTACACTGTCCCCATCCCCTAGCATTGAGCTTTCTCAGGTTCCCCCCAAAATTAGATAACTTAGTTTTATATTCCTGCCATGAAGACCGTAAAACACACTAGAATGTACCACTCAAAAATCTGTTTTTTGATGTACAAATTATGTTGTGCTAAATGCTTATTGATACCCTGCAGTTTAAAGCAAACTTCTCTAAATAGGTCATTTATCTTTCTATTTTTAAAGGTTTTTATATTTATAAAAGAATTTTCTATCCTAAAAGGTACTTCCTTCTCCTATACCAAGAACAGGTAGACTCTTAGCAACTCCAGTGTGTGTGTGTGGGGGGGTGCTATTGGGAAGTGGGTATATAGATGAATAAGATTGTGTGGGATATTCTGTATGACATACACACAAAACAATCAACAAATTAGAAAAGACATATTTGAGGAGGAAACATAAAAATTTACTTCATGTTAAATAGTAGAGGTGATAAACATTACCAGTGAACTCTAGGTGATGACTTTATACCCATACTCAGGAACTAAGGATCCGAGTGTAACCGACTGTGACCAGCAGTAATCAGATACATCGAGATTAAAGACACATGTGCAAACATCTAAGTGTTAATAGCATTAAAAATGTAGGAAACAGCATATTTTAAAATGAAATGGAGATCTTTAAAGAGTAAAGACTACTTCTATTTTATGTCTTACAGGGTTCATACTGAGTTCAATATTGTATAACTGTATTAATTCAACTGTGAACCTAAATATTTACAGCCACTTTTGAAAGAGATGTATCCTTGTTGTGGAAATTGTTACTGAATATGTTAAAGCTGAAATGAAATGCTTTTTCTAATCATGTGGTTATTAAATAAAAATAAATAAAGGAGGAACTTATTTTGGTGATATCAAGGAGCTCACAAAGTCATTAGGACTCTACATACGTCTGCTCTCTGTCAGAATGTGAGGAAGCAGTAGTGGTCAGAAGGAAGGGGAGCAGGGGTGAGGAGGGATGTCATTCCACAACGGGATGTCTGGACGCCACTCTGCGCTTTGGGCACTTTATCAGCTGATCTGTACTAGTTAGACTCAAAGGCCCAGAGATAACTACAAGGTTAAAAACTCATTCAATTTTATGTCTTATAGGGCTTATACTGAGTTCAATATTGTATAACTGTATTAACTCAACTGTGAACCTGGAAACTTGCTCCCACTATGAAAGAGATGTATCTTAGCTCTGGAAATTGTTATTGAATATGTCAGTGCTGTTGTAATGAAAATCATTCTTCTAATTATGTGGTTATTAAATAAATATTAAAAAAAATAAGTACAAGGATTAAAAAAAAATTCCCCAAACATACATTGAGATCTGGCTTCAGCTAGAGTCACCTGGTCTCAGCATTTGACTGAGCTGAAAAAATAGGGAGGCAGGTCAGAGCTTTAAAATGAAAAGCAGGGATGGCTTAGCATGTGTCCTATCAGCAGCTGTTGCCATGGAGAAGCTAAATGGACTTTCTAGGAGCAGAGTACCTTCTCTTATTAGGGAAGCACGTTTGGTTTTCTCTGATTGGTCCTAAGTTTGTAGTGGGTACAATATGAGATTAAGCTGACAGTTTCAATAAGCTCTGGTCTTTGGAACTAATTGCCACAGGTGCTGTAGGTTGACTTCCTGCATTTGTTGTTACAGAATTTGTGGGTCAAAATTCTATTTTTATATGTAGTTTGGCAGATGTCCATTTGTGTAGTAAGTATCTTAACAAAATGGCTACAAATTTATCGTCTTCAACAACACAAACTTCTTTGTGCAGTTATTTTGTTCTTTGGATCAGAAGTCTGTAAAGGTATAAAAGACCTAAGATGTAGCTGCCAGAAGACTTTCCTTCTTTCTAGGGGCCCTGTGGAAAAATGTCTCTCCTGTCCATTCAGAGTTGTGGTAGAATTTAATTGCTTGAGCTTGTGGGACTGAGGTACTCGTTTTTAGCTGGGAAAAAAAATAAGGAACCATTTGTTGCTTGGAAAGATTGTCAGATTTCTAGGTTCTTGGAGCTTTCCTTCCATTTTCAAACCCACCAAAGTTTTATTCCTATGATTTACACTGCTGTGATTCTAATAGGAATCAAACAGAGATATAATTGATTACTGTGTTGCAATGACACAAAGTTCTTTAGACTGTTATCTTGTTATGTAGGTCAGAATATCTGTTAAGATTCCTGAAATGATTGAGATGTAGACATGAAACTTGGACAGTGGGTTGAGGAGGCACTGAGGCAGAGGAAGAAGTACACAGGCATGTAAGAGCAGAGTGACAGTTAAGAATGAAGAGTTGGGGGCTGTAGAGGTAGCTCAGTGGTTGAGAACACTGCTGTTCTTGCAGAAGACCCGGGTTCAAATCCCAGCACCCACATGGCAGCTAACAACTCTCCATAACTCCAGTTCCAGGGGATCGGACAGACTCTTCTGTCCTCCGTGGGTATTGCAAAACACGAGTGCACTTACCTACATGCAGGCAATACATGCATACATATAAAAATAATAAATAAAATAAAATAAAAAAGAATGAAGAATCAAGAGTGACATAAAGCAAAACTGTAATGGCATCTTAGATAAAGACCAAGGCATTTGTATTGTTCTGCTCAGGATTAGAGAAAATTGAATGCTTTCTCACCCTATACAAAAGGTAGTCCCATACTATATGAAAAACATAGGTTTCAATATATGCAACTTTTCAATTATATAGAGATGAATTCAATTTATATTTATATTATTCACTAGAATAGTGGCCTTGGCCAATACATAGTTTTATAAATATCTATTTTCTGGTTGTAGGTGAGAGATAATCAAAACTTAATCATATGCTGTGAGCATCAAATGAAAAACATATTTTTCACTACTTGGAAAGAAATCCAAAATATTGGCAACACTATCATTTCTTTTGTACTTAAAATACATTATATCTATTTTCAGATCTAAATCTTCAGAGATACTGATTAACACAGTGGATCCTAACACCCAGCAAGAATAAAGGATAAGGGCCACATTGCCACTCAGCTGGACATGACAGTATAATCATCAAGTTAACAACTGGCTTAGCTCACATAAAGTATTTGTATCATTCTGTTCCAAGCTATCATTTATCCATACTAAATTAGAGGCAAACCATGGAGATCGTTTTAAACCACAATAGATTATTTGTTTACTTAATATCTAGTTAGTATTTTTAGTGAAGTAAATTGTTTCCTCCAATTGGCTATTACTATCACATACCAATTTATTCAAAGTATTGGTTTCTGGATACATGACCATAAATAAGCACAGTGAGAGTAAATAGAAACCATTTCTATGTTTCTTTGTGTGTTTGTTTGTTTGCCATGAGGTGTGTTTTATCTTCATTATTCATACAAATAATTTTCAAAAATATGGAACATTTCACGAATTTACATGTCATCCTTGCACAGGGGCCATGATAATCTCTCTGTATGGTTCCAATTTTAGTATATGTACTGCTGAAGCAAGCACCATTTCTGTGTTTTATGTATAATTATATCATCTCCAGTTTTCAAAACCTGCTTGAACTTTGCCAATATTTCCTTATAGTACTTAACACCTTTTTCATGCTAAACTGCAGGAATAAAATACTAAATATATTAAAGTTTAGATCTTCAAGAAAACAGAGTTGGGGCTAGAGAAATGGCTCAGCAGTTAAGACCACTGGCTACCCTTGCAGAGGATGTAAGTTTGGTTCCCAGCACCTATGGCAGCTAATAACCTTTTGTAACTCATATTTCAATTTGAGTTCCAGGGAATCTGAAATCTTCTTCTGGCATCCATAGGCATTGTATGACACAGTTGCACTTAACATACATGTAAGCAAAACAATCATACACAAAAATAAAAACAAAGAAATTATAAAAAAAAATGAAAACTCAGTGTACAAATGTGAATTTTTGAAGAAAATATTTATCTGCAGCTCTGTCTCTTTTTTTCTCTCTCTCTTTCTGTTTCTCTCCTCTCCCTACCCTTTAGATTTGAATGTCAGTTAGATAATATTGAAAACAATCCAAATGAAAATGTTCTTGTGGAATATCTTAAGAAATATGTGTCCATGTATGTCTACCCCAAGGAACAGCTACCCCATGTCCAGACAATTCTATGGTAACAACAGCAATGCCAATTCTCATGCTTAGCATGTAAGACATTAGATATAAACTCTCTTAATTGTAATGCTGGTAAATATACAGCAACTGTATCTTTATCATTTGTCACTTTCACCATCAATAATCTTTTTTTTTTTTCTGTTTGAAACATTTTAGTGGCTTGACTGTAGAGAACCAAAGATGAGAAGCATGTCAGCTAGAGTTGGGCAAAAGTGACCTCAGGTCACTGCTGTTGCACGGACAGGGCAGGGCACTGTTGTCTCCAGGCTACTTGAAAACCTATGCACAATGCTTTTCTATTATAAGACAGTCCCTTCTATACCGGAGTGAATTTTCACAGGAAGGCCAACTTATCGGACGTTCTATGACCAGCATCTTTGAACTCTGTTTATAGTGTCATTAAAGTTAGTACATGGATTACTGGAGAGATAGCTCAGCAGATAAGAGCACAGGTTGCACTTGAAGAGGATGTGGGTTCAATTCTCAATACCCACATGGTAACTAACAACTGCCTATAACTCCAGTTCCAAGGGAATGTGATACCCTCTTAAGACCGCCACAAGCATTTTATGATATGGATGCACTTACATGCAGGCAATACACTCGACACATAAAATAAAAATAATAAATAAAATATTTTTTAAAAGTTAGTACATAGCTAAAACTCTCACCCTAAATACTACATTACCTATGCAGTGAACATTTTGAGCACTGTCCAACTATATTTATGCTTTGCACTAAAATACTAGACTGTGAACTCCTAAGCCTCCTGGAGTACATAAAATTCTTGTTTTCCACATTTCATGTGTGTATGTACAACATATACTACACACTTTGTCTGTTAAATTCTATCAGATTTTACTTTTCAAAACTATGTTGAGAGTATTTCTTTCTCTGAAGTCTTTGTGTTCCTAACTGAATAAAATTAGTCATATTCTTTTTCAAGCACTATTATTAAGTATATATTTATATAGGTTTGAATTGACTACTATGAAATTGCTGGTATCCTTGTATTTATCTAATTTAACTTTTTACTTGATGTAATTGCATTAATAACACTCTGTGTAAATGACCTGTTCAAATGCTTTTAATCCTTGATTTTTACACTGACAGTAACTATGTTATTCAAAATATGTAAGCATTCACAATATATAGTATTTACTATGTTACCATTTATGTAGCATTTTATAATGGTTAAGCTATAAATTTTTAGTTTTCAGTAATCATTAGCTATAACTTTTAATTTTTTGGTAATGGGATTGAATATAGGTCTTTATTCACGGCAAACACCCATTTCACTATAGAGACAGACTACCCACCCCTTTACCTAACTCTCCTATATCACAATTTCTTCATCTGAAAAATGAAGTCAGACCTCACTCAGTATTCTTCACATTTCTGAAAGGTCTAATTGAGATAACATGTTAAACTTTTTTTTTTTTTTTTTTTTTTTACAAAAACAAAGCATTGTAAGTGAATCTAGTTTCAACTACTTTTACCCTTAATCTTCACCAGATTAAGAAGAATTAGCTGAATCACTATAAATGTAAATATGGAGATATCTTTGCTGGGAAAAGACACCAATAACAGACTGAGTATAAATATAAATAGATTAGCCACATTTATATTTACTAGTCTAATATTTGTACACCAGTCTTGAAAGAAATCACAGCAGAGCCATGATTAGATGCACAGACCTTATGTTACTGATTTATTGTTTTATCCTAATTTTTATAATTTTCCACAGGAAACTCAAAAGATCTGTTATCAATGACGTTGCAAAAAGACTCTTAAATATTTGTATTTTCCCTATAAATTTATACAGAAGCATACACACACACACACGCACACACACACAGTGCAGAACAATGAAATTAAGGAAGTATCATCTAAGCAAAACAAGAATACTAAGAATGATATATTTGTACATTAATTAAACAATAAATATTACATAACACCATTAATGTTGAAGTCAGCACTAAGTTACCATCACATTTCAATATTTAACCTAATGTCTTTAATCACAATTGTCCTAGGTAGGTATATGGGACAAAAAATAAGAATAAGCAATTCAGTCAGAAATAAATATCAAATCCTTGTTTTTAAAATTCCTGGCTATTTAACTTGGGCCATTTAGATAACTTGCTTGGAATTTGATTGGACTTGAAAAATGTGACTAGTGGCATATGTTTACATGCTGTGATCAAAATTTTTAATAAACATACATAGATATGTAAAACAGTATTACTTCTGTAAATAGAGGTATAGTTCTTCAAGAAAATGTACAAAGTCTGGTCATGATGTCAAAATGGAAACAATGGCATGATTACTTAAAATTTCTAATAAAAATGGTTATGGACAGTTCCACATTCACACAAAATCTCAGAGATTGTAATGGGATTTAACATACCATGAAAGTTAAAAATATTAATATATTTCACTGAAAAACTGATGAGGATATGTTTATTAATCATCCAAGGATAACTTTATCTGCTAGTTGATACCACTAACTCTAAATTATCAAATCAGAAATAATAAGTAATCAGCTTCACAAATGATGAAAACCTTAAGGCCTTGAAGAGTTGGGAAACACTAGAAGATGGAAAGACCTCCCATGCCTATGAATCAGAAGAATTAATGCTGTGAAAATGGAATCCTATCTAAAGTAACTACAGATTCAATATAATCCTAATCAAAATTCTTGGTCGATTCTCCACAGGTACAGAAGACATGGTCTCAAAATTGATATGGAAGCACAAAAGACCCTGGATTTCCAAAACAATCTTGAAGAAAAAGAACACTAAGTGGCACCAACATAGCTGATTTCAAAGTATTTCTCAGAAGCATAGTACTAAAATCAACATGGCACAAAAAAAGATACACTGTCCAAAGGAATAGAATGGGAGACCTAGACAGAAGTCCATGCATGTGGGAGATAGGCTTGAGCCTAGAGTAGAAGTCCTTATGACAGCCTTACAGCAGCCTGAGGCAATGGCCTGGCCGCCAGAGTGAAGAGGAATGCCTTGTGACAAATGCTCCAACAGGCAAATCATGAGATTAATACCTAGACTAATACCTAGAGCTTACCACTTCCCACTCTCCACCCTCTAAATTCTAAAACTATCACTTCCAGATAAACGGTTGAGTAACAACAGCCTGGGTCACGTGATCTCCAGGAAAACGAAACCTCAATAAACTGAAACCTACTATGCTAATAAGACATCTGACCTGCTATACTGTGATAGGACACTAAGCCTGTTATGCTAATAAGGTATCCTACTCACTGTGCTATGATTAGACCACTACCCCTATATAACCTTGTGCCTTTCTGCAATAAACCAGATCTGTGTCACTGAACGTGGTCTCCTGTGTCTGAATGTGGCTCCGCTGACACAGCCTCCTACCAGCCCTGGGGTCCAGGACTGGACAGAAGTGATGGTGGTCGGACACAGAGCCAGGCAAGCGGAGGGCCATGGAGGGCCGAGTGGGAGAACGACCACACATGCAGCTACAAAGATTCCAAATATAATCATTGGGAAAAGGACAACATCTTCCTAATACTAAGAAACCTGAATATCAACATGCAGAAGAACCTAGACTCTTATCTCTCACTTTGAACAAAACTCGCTTCCAAATAAATCAAAGTCGTCAATATGGGACTTGATACTCTCAAATTGTTAGAGGAAAATGTAGGGAGTACACTTTAACACACAGGTATTGATAAGGAGGGGCAATAGGAGGATATAGGGGAAAGGAAAGTACAGAAGGGAAATACTGGAAGAAAAAAGTGTAAGCAGGAAGGAGGGTAGAAAGACTAGGAAACAAGTGGAAGAGGAGAGGCTCAACCAAATGAACAGTGTATGAAAAAGCTAACTTACTAACATGCAGTCCATTAAAGAGAGAGAGAGAGAGAGAGAGAGAGAGAGAGAGAGAGAGACTTTGCATGGCTAGATAATGCTGCTTCTATAAGCAATGAATAATCAAAATTCTCTGTATCAGGGAGGGATACCTCTGCTGGAGATGTTGGTGAGGGAGGCTCTAGAGGCCTCCAGAACAATACAGGCTCTTGTCAGTTCTCTTGCTTGCTCACCAGAATAAGAAGGCTTGACTGCTGAAGACACCACATACTGAAGTTGCAAGATAAAAAGCAAGCAAGCTGGAAAGAAGCTGGAAATTTCCTCCCTGTTGACTATCAAATTCCTTAATGTACCCTGCATGCATCTGGGGAAGAAAAGGTAGCAATATTTTTACCTACTGAGAATCCAATGTAGGAGAAAACAGATCTGCCAGGAAAAACACATCCATACAAGAGGGCCACAACTGTTATGGTAGAAACCAACAAAGCTCTTATTTTAAAGACTG